GTGAGGTTCGGATGGCCACCATTTGGGAAAGGGTAACTGTTACTAACTCCCCAAATGGTGGGCAAGTCAGAGTAGACGGAGTTGATCCTTCATTGGATCATATTGGATCTATGATCTGGGCAAAATTTATGGGCAGTTGGCCAAAACCCTTCTTCAAGTCCTGGTGACCACTGATGTTTCCATGACAAAGAAGACAAGCCTGCCGCAGATTCGGGGATGAGCCTGTCAACTTGGGTGTTTGTTTCTCAATAGAGTGACCTACTTGTACCTTAATTTGCCACCCCGCATGAAGATGGTGGCCGTTGCTGTAAGTCCGGACGAAACTAGAAGCGACCAGGGTGTGGGCAGGGACACGAGTTGATTTCTCTATAGTTTTTGAATTAGTTCTTGGATGTTCTTGGAAGATTCTGATGTAGGATCTGATTTAGCAGCAGTGGGCAGCTTCCCTTCCGAGCGAAAGAAGTCCAGAACCAGACTCCAACGCACGGGCGATGCTCACCCGGCTGCATGGGAGGAGCGGTGGCCGGTTCGTCGCCGCTTCGACGGGAGGACCTGAAACCGGAGAATCTCATGATGTTCAACGGCCGTCTGAAGCTCATCGACGTGGACGGCTGCGTGCCGATCGACAGTGAAGCACCATGGCGCTGTGTTCAGCGCGTAGACAGCGCGGCGCGTCTACGTGGTGGGAGAACGACCGGATTGGGGTTCTGAGGCCAAACTGGGCTGAAGAATGGAATAACATGTTTATGAAGTTGCACGTAATACTTTCTGATCTGGATCTTGACACCTGGAACTTCCTGGAAGGGGGCAGCCATTTTTGGAGCTTTCGCCACGTGATTCATGCTGCTGAATACCCTACAAGGACCTCAATGATTCTGATTCCCAACAAACTTCAGATCTACCAAGCTTGAGCAGGGATTGGCCAGTGTAAAGGAATGCCAATTAAAGAAGTAAATGTTCGATATTAGATCTTGAGCGATTTCACGTCACATGACCGATCGAATCTCGAGGTCCGTCGCGAACCGGAGGTTCCTAGGAGGTTCCAGTCGGCCAGCTTGAGGTTCGAATGAGCTCTCGGACGGCCGGCATGCAAGCCTTGATCCACCGGGCAATGTCATGTTTGGGGCAAATCCACCACCGGGCGGTTCTGAAGCAGCTCTTTTCGTCCAGTCAAAGGGCCCTGAGACTCCGAGAAACGCCAGGTAGTGAAACACCCACACGACGACCCGTTTGAGGTGTCGATCAACGACTCCTCCATCTCCTTCTCCCCATGCTACTGCGCACCTGAATGGGCCAGGCTGGGAGCCAAGGGTGCAAAGACATCATTGTTCCTAGTAGCGAACATTGCTCCTCATTAGATCTAATTAGTAGTAAGGCCAGGAGCCCCTAGTAGCTTCTGGTTCCTAGTAGCGATGCCAGGAGCCCCTAGTAGCGTCTTTGTTCCTGGTGCTGGTGAATCAACAAATGGCCGAGCTGAGCTCGAAATCTGCTCGAATCTCGTCGAAAGTGTGCGAGTGCAGACTTTCTCGACTCGACGAGAACAGGTTGCGTACAGATTCGTCAGCCTTGAATGGCCAAGGTGCTGCCGTGGCAGTTAGCCTCCTTCTGCAACTGTTACTCAGTTACTCATGATGTGTGAGATACCTCATGTCCCTATGCCCCATGGTTGCAGTTGGGATACCTTGACTGTTTTCGCTGGCCTGGCTCCAACCTCAACCACCATCATTCTGATTTGGGAAGCACAGACGACATCCAAGATAAACTCCCCACAGTGGTCAGCGCAGGTTTCTCATCGATGAGGCCGAGAACAAGATCATTGCAAGGCCTCACTTGGATGCCTCTCGATCGCGCAACGAGAGAAGATTCTGGCGTGAAAAAACGACAGCTCATCGCCAGGGAGGTCAGCGGTGTGTTTGTGGATGCCAGGTGACCGTATTGGGTCCCTGACAGGGTCCATGTCCTGTTCAGGAAACCAGGGTACAGTTGGGTAAACCACTCAAGAACCCTGTCCTGACGTAAGAAGAGCCCCTGGATTGACAGCTGTAATCGAAGGGATGTGAACAACGGCCGGTTGTGATGAGGTGTGGAGTATTGGCATCACTCTTTGCGAGCTGGTCACGCAGCTGGGGCGAAAATGACCCAAGGGCAGAAGGACGTGACTGTTTCCTTGGATAGATGATGAAAGATGAGTGCATTTTTGCAACCACAGCACAATATAGATGGACCTGCAAAAAGAATTGTTTGCAGGTTGTTTGGCAGGGTGGGTGACAAGAAGGCTTGTGAGGAGTGCCTGTGGCATGCTGGGGGCATATCTTTCCACCTGTGGTACAGATTTGAGCACATTTGTGCTTAGGTGTCGTCTATCAACGACCAGTACACATCTTGTCTCAACAGGTCAAAGATCAGATCAAATTCTCTTTACCGTGCTTGACATCAGGGCCTTGTAAGTTTCACTCCAGCGCAAGCAGTAGCAACTTGTGGCAGCATTTGTATGCAGTCTCTCCATTCATGCTATGGTCAAGCAATTGTATGGCCCAGACCGGAAAATCATAGTCGCTCATGGGGCTGTTTGCCAAACCGGTTGAATGATCGGTATGATGGCGACCCTGCACCCTGCAGGGTCACCTGAGGCTCGATGCCATCCTGAAGCCCATGTATGGTAACTTCTTGCGTAACGGACACTCTCACAGAGAAGCAGGCACTCCACGCGACGCACGACGCGACGCGCGACGCGGGTTGACGCGCGGTTCGAGAAGCGCCCGCGCCGGTTGACGCGAGAGTGGAGCCGTTCATTCGGACGAGTGGAGCCGTTCCACGGCCACTTCTTGTCAGTGCGCAATGAGTTGGCGGGGTAATCCCAGCTAAGCATCATCATCATCATCATCATCATCAATGAACCTTTTCCAAGCTCTACCCAGGTGATGTTTGTCACAGGCCCTCCATCAGAATTGGAAGCACATTGTGGTGCATTGGAGGCAGAGTTTTGATCCAGAGTTTTACTTGATAATTTGTACGTATATAGCAAGTCTTTGTAGCTCCTGATCCTCATAGAGAGTATAGCGACCGCCTGAAACTTAGAATGTCCGTTTGGAAAAAATTACACCCGACCAGATACCCCAAAAGTCCGCGTAGTAACATCTTGAATTTTGCAAATTTCACCGATTTGCCGCGTATATGCAACGAAATGGCCTTTTTGGCATGTCAGAATTTTTGCTACGCGGAGTACCTTTTTGACGCACCCTTCTGCACGCATTTAGCTTAAATCAAAACAACAAACAACTTGGCATGACCCTCAAAATCATGGCATTTTTGAGCAACATATGTAAAAAAGCTTGAAAATGGTCGAAACTTGTGCTACGCGGAGTACCTTTCTGACGCACCCTTCTGCGCGCATTTAGCGTAAATCAAAACAACTTAGCATGACCTGTTATTTATATACATATATATATAGAGAGAGAGAGACAGAGAGCATTTCTTCTCCGCGGCTTTGTTGCAAAATTTGCGGCACACGGTGAAATTTGCAAAATTCAAGTTGTGACTGAGCGTGCTTTTGGGTCATCTTGCCGGGTGTAAGTTTTTCAAAACGGGCATTCTGAGGCTCAGTCCGAGTCCGACGCTATGATGTTTTATGCAGATGTTAGCAGTGTTGGGTCTTGTCAAGCACTTCACTCGCTGCATCCCTTGCCATTCTTGTCGGTTCAGGGCATGGGCGCATCAAATCAAGGGGACTGCCACGCACAGGATTGATTGCGCAGATTTTATACATAGATTGCATGCTTTCGGGCCCTTTTGCAAGCCTGGAATGAATACGCGCCTCACTTAGGGTCTGGAACTTAGAATGCCCCTCCACCATTTACCCGCGCGGCCATTCTAAGTTGCCCCATTTTTAAAAAAAACGGGTCATTCTATACTCAGGGTATTTTCGTTTGGAAAGTGCGGAGGCATTCTAAGTTCCAGGCCGTCACTATATCTGTTGGCAGTCAAAAGATGTTTGCAGAAGGACACGCATCCTCCAAACAAGATCAATTTTTTGGAAAACATCCGACTGGCAAAGACTGCCTGAGTGTTGTGAGAATTTCCAAAATTCCTCCCCCACCATCATGTGGAGAGAAGCCTCCCCACAAACAGATGCAATTTGAACCCCCTGTCTGGTTTCGCTTTGGAGACATCTGCCAGGCTTCCTTTTCATGGACTGGCTGGGACACATCACCCGTGCTCCGGTGCCCAAGAGCATCGAGCGCTTCGACAAAGACTTCCACAAGCTCATCGTGCCTCGGTGGACGATGTGGCATTGTGAGGACGATTGCGGTCCGTGGGGTGTCAACCTTCGGCAAAGAATAGATTTCCTCGAAGATGATTTAATCATCTATGTTGCTGGGTGTGCTTTAGTTCCATCTTTCTTGGATGGAGGGGAAGCTTTAAAGGGCCGTTGTGGGCCGTTTTGACAGGTTCATGAGACCCTGGTTCACAGTTGCCACAGAACAGTGCTCCGACAATCAGCATTGAGAAAGATGAACATCTGGACTGGGTTCAGAGCACATTTTTCTTTCTTTCTTTCTTTCTTTCTTGCGATTCCCTGCATGGCCCTACATGTTCTGCAGGCTAGCTCAAGCCCCGTTCAGAGCACATCAACAAACAAGCTTGGAAGGCCACAAAGAACCCCGCAGCACTACCTCGACAGTGGGTGAACACTGCAACTAGGCCCTTTTCACGCCATGGCAAGTGAGCATCTCCTGGTAGGCTGACTGTTTATTTTAGAGTTGTTTGATCGGAGGTTGAATACTTCAGCACTACTCCAGGAGGTAGTCCAAGAGGTATATAGGGCGAGTCAACCGCGTATTTGTCGAGCATCTGTCGTTCAAAGCATCTGGACGGAAGAATGTTCCTCCTCGAAACTTTCGATTTGACATCCCTAGCGGCCCCTGTTCCTGCCTAAAAGGTGTCCGTAGGTTTCAGCTCCCTTGCAGGAACAGAGAAACACCGCACCTCCAAATCCCAATTTGGGGGTCATTCCATGGGTCGACACCTCGCGAAACCGCCGCCATGGGTCGACGCGATGTCCGGGTGGCCAGCACCGTCCGGGTGCTGGCCGTCCTCGTCCTCGCGGGGCAATGTGGTGCAGAGAAAGCCTGGACAATGGCCCTGCAACTCTGTGCTGCGGAGGTTTGCCATGAGAACCAAGTGGAGGAGAACAGTTTTTGGTCGACAGGGGGGGCGAGAAGAATCCGAAGACATCAGTGGGGTTCGAAGGCCCCCATATCTTGATCCATTTGGCCAGACAGTAATTAAGAATACCCACCCCATTCAGACTGTAGAAGCATTCTCGCCTTTCAAAACACAACAAAAGAGCCCCCCCTTTTCAGAGGAAAACGACACCTCTGCGGCCCTCTGTGCTGCGATCCCGGTGGCGTCGCTCTTCGGCGGGGCGGGGCGCAGCACCCTCTTCGGGCGCACGCTCTGGTGCGCGGCGATGCCCCGTGGGCCGCACACAAGTTCGGACCGCGACCCGCGGGCACTGGTAGACGCGGTCCGCGGGGTTAAGGGCACGGGAGGTGAAGATTGACCGAGAAGTCAAGATGACATGTCTGACTGAGGGTCACCTGTTTTAGTTGACCCTGTAAATGACTCCTTCTATCTGCTGGACTACATGCTTCTGCCACAGGTTGTCCACAGGGCCGGTTCTGGACCTCTACAGCGGGCTGGGCGACAGCAGCGCTTTGTTGGTCCATGCACTTGCCCAGCGTGAGCACCGTGAGGGAGGCTCCCGCAGCCTGGTGAGCTTTGAGCGAGATTTGGAGAGGTGGGATGCTTAGGGATGCGAACTCTTTGGGGAAGAAGAGGGGATGTTGGGGGGCTCGTCTTTTTTGGTGTGTGAAAGCTTCAAGAGAACAATGATACATGAATAGCCTGCAATGCTTGAGGCCCCTCAATTCGAAGGAGGCCTTGTTTGTTCAACAACCGTAGTGGTTTTGAACTGATCTTTCAGTTGTTTAATACATCCTCCAATTCCACAAAATCGGAATACGTATGGGGAAGTGGCATGTGGGCTTACACTATAAATTAACTTTTTGCCAATACCTACGGTAACGCTTTTTAAATATGGTGGCCTGGCTAGAGCAATCGGCTTCGTAGTTGAACGCTCTGCAATTGGAGGGCAGTCCAGGCTTGTTCCGGGGCTTGTAGGCTAATTGAGGTCCCCTAGTGCTCGTTCTACAGCCCATCGGGCTTAGGACATTCGCCATGCTTGTCTCATGGCCAGAGTGCTCAAAATTATTCGAGCAAATTTCGGGCTGGAACCTGCAGGTTTGGCTGTCCTTCTGAACACATTTGAGAGATTCGAGTTCCTCAATGTTGCATGTGCCCGAAGTACGGCGCGCCAGTGAAAACCGAATCATTAAGACTGTGCAGTTGCGCCGGACCTCAGTCACGTTGAGTATCCGGAACTGTCATCGGCTCAGATGATTCACTTAACTCTTCCATCTCGATGCACCAGAACGGTTGCTCGTCAGATCCGGAAAACCCCCCCTCGTGGAGGCGGGAACGCTTCTTCCGGCCTGTGCTATCGGGATGTTCCCTTTTTTTTTTCGTGCCAGGCTGTCCTTTGTGGCTCACCGACTGCAGCAACAGGGCACGGCAGTGCAGCTCATCAAACCGATCCGCTCGGAGCAGGAGATCCAGGCGATCTTCCAGCGGCAATCCAGGGAGGTGTCCGCCCTTTTGATCGCAGGCAGCACGCGTGATCTGGTCAGAGGTGAAGATGGTGAGCGGGAACTGCTGGAAGTCACTGAGCTGCAAATGATTGAGCACCAAGTTGGAACAGAATCTTTAGAGCCGCTTTTTATCTTTTAGTAACGTTCATGGTGAGCTTACATTGAGCTGTATCTTGTTGCTATGCCCCTACTTGTGGTAGCCCTTTATGCCAGTAGAGCCGCATGTGGTCGATGTTCTTAGTACCAAGTCTTCCGTAAGACTTCCTCCAGGCCGCCCCGCTGGCCGCAAGAAGATGAGTCGTCGCGAGCGATGTTTAGTTAGAGAACCACTCCAGAAAGGTTAGTTGGTATCATTTAAGGCGTTGTTTTCGTGATATTTGGAAGTTGGGACATGTAGTTAGATGGGGGATGAATATTGGACCTAAGTTCTTCTTCAAAATACCTAGTGCCAGCCACTGGCGACATTTTCATCGACCAGACCCGTGAAGAAATGGTCGAAACAATTTTACCTCGAGTCATCATTCGCCATGAGGTGATCTCTACGCAGATGGCCAAATCCCCTCCTGGACTCCTCTTCTTGGACCCTGACGTGGAGACCTCCGCGGAGGATTTCGCGCGCGACTGGCGGAGCTTGGAGGCGATGAAGCCGCAGCTGGTGGCCATTTACAACACCAACCTCCCAGGTGAGCGGAGCTCGATTCGGTGACGTCACCTGGAGCATGAGACAGGAAGATGGATGTACATGATGGTAAATGTATATTCCAGTCCCATGGATGCTATGGGATAGGTGACAAGATCTGATAAACAGAGGCTTCCTGTGGATTTCGGTGTGATGAGAGCTAGTCTGACAGATTGCTTTGAACATGAGAGTCTGAACAATTCCGCGGTTTGGTCAGGAAACCAACACTCCTCCCGCAAGTCCGCCATCTTGAACAGCCTCAGGTGGTGCCGGATGGATCTTAAACCGTTGCTTGGAGCGAAGGACACGTGGGTTGCATTTGCTTTCATGTGTCCTGTTTATATAATTACTGTATGTAGATTGTATGTAGAGTTGGGATGTTCGGCGTAAGCGAAGCATACCCCAAAGCATACCCCCGAAGCATACCCTCTGAAAATGCAAGACCTAAAGTAGCATTCGCACCGCGAAGAAGCAAACCCATGAAGCATAGCCCATATAGTCAAAGATCCTGCCCTGGGAACGTCTAACAAATACATCGCTCCACGTCTCGCCCCCCCCATCGCCCGGATCGGATGGTCACATGGTTCGAACCGTGACCGTCGGGCAAATGCAGACAGAACCGATCATCAATGATGCTCAAAGAGTAAACAAGACGCAACACATATGTGAAAGTGTAAGCTTTTTGGGGTGACCAGTGCTGCTCTAGTTCATGTGGGTTCAACAGCAAGCAACGGCCCAACCCTGCGGAAAACGGCCAAAGACTGAATATTCCGGGTATGGAGGGAGAGGTTCAGAGAGGTTGGCGATATATAGGGTACTAGAGGGCATCTCACCCCGAACACTCCTCCAAACAAACCCGAGATTTCCTTCATTTCATCCTTTTGCCGGGCCCCCCACTCCCCCTTCACGCCCTCTCCGACCGCCCGCCGCCGACCGCCCGAGGCTTGTTGGCGCTCGGCACCTACGAGGAGATCGCCGCCGGCAGCAACGACGGCGGCGCCGGCGAGCGCGACCCGCTGCGGCAGCTCCGCGCCTGGTCGCTGCTGCTGCGGCGCGACGCGCCCGGCGTCGGGGCACCTCCTCGGTGGAGTCCAGGTGCGGGCGAGGAGAGCGGTGAGCAGCGCGTTTGAGGTCAGGGGAAGCCAAGTTCGAAGCCAAGTTTGGCAATGGGACATAATATTGACACCTCAAAGACATGGTCCTATAATAATAGGATTTACAGGAGCACCAAAAAATCTCAAAGGGCATTGGCACGGAAGCTAAGATTACATTTTACCGTAGTCTACTCTTTCTTTCAAGATGGAGGTGGAACAGGGGCATGTTCCAATCCTTTTCAGAGCGGCTCATCATCAGCAATCTCAGAAATCTCCCAGTTCATCATCTCCCTGACTAGGCGGCTTAGGCACTTCTTGATGTCCAGACTGCCACCCACCTGCCAGGCCTTCCCACCGCCGACCCACCGACAGCGGCCAGCGACCAGCGGGTCTCCCCTACGGTGAGGATGGTGGGCGACGAAGCCAAGGAGTGGATCGCTGAACACCTGAAGCAAGGCGAATGGGCTTCAGCACGTCTAGCACGGCACGTCTGTCGAGGTTGGGCAGGTGGGCATTGAGGTGGACATAGAGGTGGACAAAGGAGAAGAAGGGCGGAGAAAGAACCCGTGATTGCTTATCATGGTTCAGTACCTATAGGAAGTCCTACTCTGCCCGAAAGAAGTCATTTGGGCATCATAGAAAGGGTATTTACCCGGCATCGACCCACTTATATGGATTGAAGTGTGCCTTTGCAGACTGCGTGAGCCAAAGACTTTCACTTACGTCGAGCTTTTGGACGATCATTATCTTGCGGTTGACAAGTCAAAGATGGTCGGGTTGTGAGTGATAGTCGCAAGCTGGGGATTTATGGACTCTTCCATAATCTTCCATATACATCGAGTTCTGAATGGCAGAAACAAGAATGGCAGCTAGGGGACTTCCCCCACCTTTTTACGGAAGTCGGTTCATTCTGCAAAGTCAATGTGATTGAGATCGACTGAGAACGACGAAAACAACAAAACGCCGCCACCTGCTGAACCTGGGCTGTGGCAGGTTGGTCCTGGCAGAACACCACCTTCCGCGCTGTGGGCGGGGGCGAAGTCCTGCGCATCCACCGTACCGTGGGCGAGATCGTCCCAGTGGAGGTTCAACGCCCCACCGAAGAGTTGTTGAAGCCGCCCACGGCGGAGACTGGGAGAAAAACCCCACGGAGGGGGGCTGGGGAGGGGGAAGATGCCAGCTGGGAGCATGATGGTGCCGGTGGTCAGGTGGTGGAAGTGGGGCAGTTTCTTGGAGTTTCTGGGAAACTCGGAAGCAACATGAAACTGAAAAGTGAGGCCTTCGAAGACTGCTCTTTCAAATCCAGTTTTTGCAGGAGGGGTACTGAAAGTTTTGAACTCCCCTGATAGATAAGGGGAAGCCAGGATGTCACAGGAATCGCACAGCAGTATGGTACGGTTCGTGTGATTTTCAGGGGGAAGCGAAGGAAGAACTTTCAACACTTAACAATTATATCGATATCTTCCAGGATCTTCCAGGGGTCCGCTTTCCGGCACTTCATCAAACTTCTTTGGACACATGGACCCATCAATCTTTTCACCTTCAGAGGCTCCCCGCCTATCCTTGTTGCTCCCCATCTCCGCCCCTCTCAGGACACGAATCCACGGCGCTGCCTGGCCGACTTCGACCCGCTCGTGGCCGCGCGGCAGCTCCGGGTGCCCTGCTTCCTCAGCTGCGAGGGGCCCGGCTTCGACGAGCGCTGGGGTGCTTTCCGGCGCAAGGCACGGTGTTTCGAAGCGGTGTCGATGGTCGAAGAAGAAGACATGGTCCAATTTGATCCAATTTATTGTTTTTCCAAGTTTTTTGTTCAATTTCTTTTCATTCCTTTCTGAGTTTTTCATGGTTTTTACAAACCATGGGTCAAAGACACCAAAGTGCAAGGAGGACCCACCGAAGTCTGGTCCTGGACACAGTGGTCTTGGGGTCAAAGGAGGCCTTTGTGTCAAAATGGTCCAGGGCCTTAAAATCTGGAGGACCCACCGGAGGAGTCTTTTTGAAGGAAAGGAAGAGGCATGCAAGACCAACGATGTTTGATGTACGAGTTTATCATTGTTTACACAAACCCATGGCCCAGAGTTTCCGGGCGCTATGCATATGTTTTGTGTCGTGGGCCTGGGCATGTGGATTGTCCATGTTAGAATCTCATGCACAATGTGGACTGCAAAGATCATCAAAGATCCCTCATTCATCCCACGGACATCCGTGCAAAAAAAAGAGATGTTGCAAAAACGCTGGCGATAGTTGCATGAACAAACATGAAATTAAGATACTCCATGAAGTGCATGTAGGGTTTGCGGAAGGAACACATTGATGATCAGAATTGCGGCGATAAACCCTAGCTCAAACAAACACTGCTGTGACTGTGTTGGATGTCACGGTCGAACTCAAACTTGCAGCGCTGGCAATCAACTATCAAAGTTTTGACCTGTATTCAACCGCCGCTGGCGTGTGCTGCCGGCCACCACGGATGAATCCTGCCGGTTGCAAGGTGTCGTCATCAAGAAGCATCAGCAACTGCTGGGGGTTGTTGTAAACCGTGGTCACTGTAAACCGTGGTTTGGTGATTTTTGGTGTAAATTTTAGGCACAAGACCTGTATTCTAGACAGGCTGATTGGGGCTCAAGAGTGGCAATGGATAGTGAACATCTGACCATGAAATCCACTTCTTTGACCAACATCCACCCTGACGAACGACGCTAAGACCCGCTCGCGGCCGAAATATGGCAGGTCCTGCAAAATGCCCAGCAGGGCTATGCTTTAGATGAAGATCTCCTACTAGAGGCAGTGGCTCGAAATCGAGGCGCGGCACCGACAGGTCGCTCGCGCGCCTAATCACCTCCCGCTCGGTCGGTCGGAGCACTGACTGAACTGAATGGGTTGGGCCTGGAGAACTCATAAGGGTGTAGGGGATACCTGATATTGTATGATCACCATGGTTTTGGTGGGTAGACTGGTCTACTTCCCGAACCTGGAAGAGGGGGTCGATTCACGCCTGGGAGTCTCCTGATTTGAGCCACATACTCGAGGATCTGAGTGCACTCCACTCCTTCGATGAAAACGCCCCAAACTAGAGTAGCTTGAGGGTCTGATGCTAGGTTGGTTCCTTCACTTTATCTCACCCCCATTTTTCTTCACTCAATACCCAACCTATAGGGGGATCGTTTGATTCTGCGTTTTCATCGGAGGCATCGTCGAGAACGACGAGATCTTGATCCACGGCCGCTCCCGCTTCGTCTCGCGCCTGCGACACGTGGCTCGGCTCGGTTCATTCCGGTCTCGACGGGTGGACGGTGACCATGAAATGAAAACCAGGTGGCTGGTGTGGTCGTTTTGGCAGAAACGGATCAGAAACGTATCAAAACAAGAGTAGAAAACTGACTATGCCAGGCAGTGCCAGGGTAGTTTTCGAGGTTCAAAGGCCATTTCTGACAAATTTAAAGCCAGTTCTGTCGAGGATCCATGTGAATCCTTGGGACGCATAAGGATCCTCCCTCCGAGTGATCTGGGGTACCGTTCGATCCAGAAGGCCTTTCTCCACCCAGCCACCCAGCTCCAAACTGCGAAGCTGCGCAGTCACCCGACGTGCACCATGGGTTCTTTTTGTTGTCCTGTTGGCGTGGCACCCGTGGGGAACCGGATTTGGTGATCCCCCAGGAAACGGACATGGGTAAAACACAGCAATGAACAGACCGGTGTTCATCGATGAACAGGACGTTTTTTAGACACATTCCAACAAATCCACGGCGAATCCATATCGAATCCATATTATATATATCTTCGTTTGATTTGTGACGCATCTCAAAAACCACCAAGGAATACACCCACGATTCGCATTTGGAGGGCTTCTGCCTCTTTGGCATCACTGCAGCAGCCTTCATCAAAGGCCGACACATGCTGGGCATGGAGCCAGTGGAAGTTCAAACGCCGCGCGGCCGAAATGGGCGCGGATCCGGAGACAAAGGAAGCCGTGTTCCCAAATGGGCGTGCTTGTATACGGAGGTTATTCAGGGGCGAAACCGGGTGGTTGGAAATGGTAGTATACTCACTTTGAGGAAAAGGCTGAGGGTTGCAACATGTTGCAACAAGGCTCAGTGAATTGACGAGTAGTTAGAGAGGTGGCTGTCCAAGCAGTTGTGTATCGTGGCAGCTTCAGTTGCAGCCTTTCGCTTGCTCGGCCAGCTAGTGTAAATGTGTCTACTTATTGGTCACAGATGCAAGGCCTGTTGCTTTGAGAAGCTACGCAGTTGTTCCCTCAAGCATTCTTCCAAATTCACCACAGATGCTCCCTTCAATAGTCGAAATAGGTGCTGTTGACATGCAATGACCGATGTAAAGTGCGTTGCTTCGCTCCTCTTCTTCTTGGAATGCCTTTTTGAGGCACGGGAAACGCTTCTTCCCTCCACGCCTTGGCTTGGGCGAGATGGATGTGGCCTACACCATGGTCACGGATTCCGAGACTTGGTTGGATTTGGATGATCCATGGCATGACACGGGGATTTGAGGTCCGAAGGCAGGGGGATTTGAGGTTCCACTCTCCGTTTCTTTCCGATGAGCATAGTGCTCTTATGTGTTCTTCATTGTTGGGTTTTTGCTGGTGGCTCCACGTTTGAATCACACCGACCTTCATTATGCTGAGTGTGAGAGGGGAGATAGGTCCGAGTGTGTTCGTTTCAATGCAGGCGAAAGCAGGATGCCAAGGCTAAATACTTGAGTATTGTACATCTAAATACCATTGACATCCATTAGACAACCCTCCAAAAGCGCCCCAAACTGCACTGGTGAGGACAGCACTGGTGGCATTGAGTTCAGCTTCCTCGAGAACTCCGGCTGGGCTGCCGGGCTGCAAACATCATGCCCCCCAGTCGGTCCCAGAGTTGGTCTATCAATTGCGTATACGGTGCCTTCTCATTGAACCACCCTTTGGTGGTGGGTGACAACCGTTTGGGGGTGGGTTTGGAACGCTTTTCGGATTAGTTACATCTACTTCAAGAATATTATTTTTCAAGGTTTCTTTGTGTACCTGTTTGGTGTGTTGAGGCAGTCTCCTTGGAAGATATCATCACCAACTTGGCCATGCAAAAGTCTCACTTGGGCGCTCCCTTTGAGCTCTACGAGAGGACGTGGCCGCCCTTGGATCTGCAACCCGCGGGCCTCATGGCCGTGGAGGACTCTGGACGTCCGGACGAGAGAGGAGAGCTGCGAGAGCTGCGGATTTGCGGCCTCGGCGACCTGGAGAGATCGACGGTCTCGGTTCTGACCATGCGAAAAAATCAAAGCTATAAGGAAGGCCATGTCAGTGGAGGATCTGTCAGGAGACATGATGGAAACAGGATTCAGTCATATTCAGTCTAATATAAGACCATGTCATGCATCAATATGTCAAGACTGGAGGGCCATGTTCCAGTGCGATGATGTTCAGATTTTCTCAGGGGACCACCTCACTGCCACCTTCGACGCGGTCTTGATGGCCGAGCAGGCTTTGGGCGACCTGGAAACGCACCGAGTGGCTTTGACGGTACATCGGCGCTTCTTGGGACGCTACTGTCCAAAGCATGCCACTCAGGGCCATCAATGTCGTCAGCGTTGTGAACTCTTAGGGAGCTGTGAGGAGAACGAGGACAATGATCCGGTCGCAAGGTGGCTGGATGGTGTGATCCATCCCGTCACTTTGGAAGAGCTACCCTTCGATCTACCGGAACGACAGCAACGCTTGGCGGAGGTTCTATTGGATCTTCGGATTCAGGAAGCCGATTTACTGGTCTGTTCCCACCCAACCTTGTTGTGCATGATCTTGGCCACCTTGAGTCCAAGACCGCCCTTGTTTGTGCATGCCTCCTCGACTTTGCTTTATGGCCTCCGGTGTAACGATTGCACCGAAGGGTCAGGCAACTTGAGGCACTTTGGACAGTCTCAGGTGGCTTTGTTTGGATGAGATAGGAACTTCATTCTTCTTTTGGGGATGTGTGGGTTCTTTTCTTTGCCAAACACTAAATGCATCTGAATACTATAGTTCATACATCCACACCGCACTCTGCACAACTGGGATCCCAAATCCATCCCGTGGTTGATGACTGTTTGTCATGTTCTGCTCGTGTTTCTTTGTAACCAATGGGCTGGGCTTCCTGCTGGCTTTTGCCCAGCTGATAGTGGCCATCGCCCCAAACACACGAACCACAACCTGACCGAGTAGAATCTTGTAGAGACAATCCACAACTTCTCATCAAACCGAACGGGCCATCATGACCATATTGGTCCAGCAAAAAACAAAGTGTTCCATGTTTGGCTTGCTAAGACTGGGTGGACTCACATGTTGCTAGGTAGCTCAGAGCTACCTCATGGCCGTCCGCATGTTGCTGCTGGGCAGGGAGCAATTGAGCTTTCTGGCGGAGGGGCGTTTTCTGGCAGAGCAGATCCACTACCAGGTGTGCTACCTGAGTTACCTGAGGGTTTTCCTGTGTGCAGGATCGTGCTGCCTTATTTGCTTTTCGCTTTTCTGGGATGGATTTTCACTCACCTCACAAGTTTCAGTAAATGACGACCATGAGAGTCACTAGAAAGTCCCAACGAAGTCCTACTGAGATGCCACGGGATGTCCTTTACTGTACCACTTGCAAGAGGTTTTAGCAGTTGCTCACTGTCAGGTAGTTTGCTTTGTACAGCATCACTTTGTGTGTGAGTTCTAGTCGCTCGGCCGAGGGGCTCCGGAACAGAAACACCTCAAACATCTTTCTAGACCAGACCGACCCTGGCTGGTGTGACCAGGCCATGAACCCAACCAAACATTTCTTTCGACGAGCAAGATCTGGGAACCTCATCTCGTTGACTTCAACACGCTGTCATGACACACCTGGACACACTGACACTCACATTTTAAGAAGGGACATCTCTCTTCAGTCAGGTCGGTGTTCGTGTCTCCTGGGCTCCGCCCTTGGCGCTCTACACGCCGGGAGCAGCACTGAGCAGCACCCGAAGTGGTACACGTCGGGCGGTGGTCTTGAGATCCAGGTTCTTCGTGTCATTGATGGGCGAGCTGTCTCTTGATCAGCCTTAGATTATTCTTTTTTCCCGGAGGGTTTGCACCCAGAAGCGGGTCACCACACGTGTGATATATGGTGGGCAGGAGAGTTTGTTCTTTTTCATTTTTCATGCGGTTCAAGGAAAATGCTTTGAGTCGCTATAAATAACAGCCTCTAAATTCAGCCCATGTTTGGATCCATGCATTTCCAACTGAAGCGAACCTGAACTCCCGGTCACCGGGTCAGATTGCGCGATGAAGCGGACCAAGACCGAACAGGCTTCGCTCCTTGTTGCGAGAGGTGGTGGCCCTGAACGTGGAGCAATATCCCTTGGAGGTGATCTTCTTGGGAAAGGACAAGCAGTTCCTTGGGCCCCGTCAAACGCCAAATCGAATAGATATAGACGGAAGACAGGTCACCGAATCGTCGAAGACTAAATGGGGCCTGCTAGGTTTAGAGGCTATCCTAAGCATCCTTGAAGAAAATCAGCTTCCGTCCGCAAGAAGAAACACTATCATGGTGGATCTATGCTTGGCACTCCAAGCCCTCCATGAGTTTTCCTGTGTCGTACCTGTGTGTTATTCTCAAGTTGCCCGGACCCACTTCCCCGAAATCTCTTAGACGAGAACATGCAAACAGTAGACACAGGGCACGCTGTATCCAAACCGTCACGACTCTCGACTCTCTTTCAAGCGAAAAAGGTAGCTGAGCTATGCTGAGCTGCTCAGGTTTGAGGAGCAGTGGCTCTCGCTGAAACAGCTGGCGGACTTTGATTTGGCCATTCTTTGGCCCAACGACCTGCATCAGCGCACCTTCCACGAGGCGCTCTTGCGCCGGGCGCACCGTTTCGTGCGAAACGCGCCCGGAGGATGATCGACCATCAGATGGAATGACGTATCACTGCCTTGCCGATGAATACCCATGAATATGAGAGGATATACTGATATACTGATGTAATTAAAAGGTGTAAGTAACAAGAACACTCCTCAAGAGTTTTGTATCCAAAAACCTTTCAATTCAACACATTTACAATACCCTGAATACCCTGGTATACTTGTGCAATGAATCTCAGGTACCTTGCGCTTGGTTGTACGCTTGTGTGGGTCACTCGTTCAGCTCAGTTTCCAGCTGTTTGTGGCGAACAGGATCACACAAGACGCAAAACCGTTGTCCGTTGCCCACCTGGCGTTGACTGCTTAGAGTTGGGACCGTCTCGGTGATTTCGCCGAGTCCGAGGAGAAGTAGTGGTAGTCGGTAGTCGGGTGGATGCGAAAGATGCCAATCAGAACTGAGTTTTGATCTGTCTTGAATGAAAACGAAGGACATACCACATACGGTTCAGATTCTGCCCCGAAGCCGTTGGACGTCCCGATCTTTCCAGATGAGGTGTACCGCATGGCGATGCCACTGCTGATGCCGGATGCCGAAGGTCTTTTTCGTGCACAGAAGATGTGCAACTGGGGCTATGCCTCCTATGGCGCACGGCTCGTGGCTTGAAGAATGGAGGTTTTTCTGCTTCACGGGGTGTGCGCGTGAGGTTCCGGGTGTCGAGCAAGGAGAATGTATGTGCCAGCGAATTCCAACAAGTCAGCACCAGGAGCAGACTCCCCCCAAAACACCTCTACTACACGTGTTTGTTCCTGACAAACCACAAGCAAACTCTTTTTTCCTGTACCCCACAGATGCCCCCAACAGAGGTCGTCCGGTCAACATTTGCAGGAAGCGACTGGAAGTTCAATGAAGTTCATGGAATATAGTGAGGTGACATGCGGTCACAGGTCTGGAGTCGCTTCCATCTGTGCCTTTTGGGGAGTGGTTCCATGTCCATGCCCGCGACGCACTCCCCACGCTCATTTTGTCAACCTACATCTTGCAGCTTCGTTTGTAGCTTTGTCATGGTCTTTGGCAGTGTTCAAGAGCGCCAAGGGATTCCGTGTGAGTTCCTGCAGGGCTGTTACAAGGCTTGAGATGTCCACCTCAAGGAACATCGCGCTCAGCAACAATAAGACTTTCTTAGACTCTCCGCACATCTACTGTATACATCCACCTCATCCTTACCAAGAAGTGGATGAACAAGTCCATAAAGCATCCAGCTATAGCCCATATATCCACCTTTATAGTTATCCACCTATATTCACCATCCACGCCTTCCCCATCCCTCGGCCGTGACTCGTCGCCCCGAGGCGCAACTGCCTGAGTCGACCCATCCCTTCGAGCCTTGGTGGAACAGTTGGAGCTCTTCACCACAACTGGTCAGCTACTGGGAGCGTTTCAGTGACTGGCAGCAGATGCCCCACGTGCAGCGCTTTGCCAGCTTACCGGGACTCGTGGTGCTCAGCTTGCAGCTGGATTTGGAGCAGATCACTGCAGAGCAGCTGGGCAGAAAGCAGAGGAAGAGAGAGGAAGAGGAGCAATGCTTGTGATGTTTGAAAGCCCAGTGACGATCTCTGGCAGTTTGGAGGGTCCGAGATTGAGCAACAACCTCGTGCCCCACAAGGTCACTGAACCCTTGGGCTCTTTGATGTTCTCTTTGTTCATTCAGGCTGATCCCAACGCGCAGTTGATGGACATTTGCACCGATTTGATGGGGTTGAGGATCTTTCTGAGGGGCTTGGGCTTGGACACTTATTGTGAAGGCCCTTAGAAAATTGAATAACAGTGAATAACATTTGGTTTGGGGTAATGTTTTGACCGGTTTTGATTGTGCAACAGACATGGAGCAAGCTTAACCTGTGCTATTGACTTTCAACATGGGTGGGCAACATCTTCCTCTCCACGAGGTGGTTTGGGGGATCTCTCTTCCTTGAGGCACCCGTGTATCCAAGGGGTAAGATGATATGAACCCACGTGGGGCCAATTTATAGAGGTTATGAGGTTATTCTTGCCAAGGGAGGTTGTTTGCCCACGCATTTGGGTACACCTGAGAACCACCCCGACTTTGTTCCCACTACTCGAGACAAACTCTCACCTCCGCCTTTGCGTGAGTTTCCCACGTTACCTCACCTCAAGGACTCTCGCATGTGAAGGCACACCATATGATGTGAACGTGATTTGCCACAACGAACAACCCCAATCTTCTTGGCCTGAGCAATATCATGTGCATGGTCGATTCTCTCCTGGCACTCTTTGCCACTCCTGGAGCATCCGAGGATGTCTGACTTCCACCGTCGCTTGTGCGAGCAGACCCTGGGTCTGGTGTCAAAGCAGCTTTCGCCCTTTCTACCCTTTGCGAAAAGAGACCCTTCCGGTCCGTTGCGGGCACGAGACGGACCATCTCGGGTGACCGTGGAACCACGGTGGGAGCATTCGATGCCGATGCGAAGAGTGTGACAGTCGGTTTTTGGTGGCGATGCCCCGTTCTGCATGGACATGCATGGACTATAGTAGAATCATACTCGTATACGTACTTACATTGATTTCGGTGGAACTCAGACCAACTGATCGGTCAAGATGCCAGTCCCATCGGTCGGTCGGTTAGGGTGTCGGGTGTGTCGGGTGTGTCGGGTCAATTTGTCTCGGTCTGATTCTCCAGATTCCTCCTGATTCCATGCTGAAGTCCGGTGTCGGAGTAGGACCTGGGGGGGTCTCCGAGCCTTGGTGAGCCTCTCAGGCCGGATTCAGGTTGTTGGTCATTGATGAACTTGGTGAGGTTCACTCATTCTATGCTGGAAGTCATTGAACTGTGCTCCAAAGTGTGGATGAACATCAGGAACAACAATACTACTGATCAAACACGTGCAAAGGACACCTGATAGCATCTCATCAGAGGACTGTTAACAACCACTTGGACACCTCAGGCTCTAGCGCCATCCTGGTTCTCGGACTTGTGACCATCCTGGTTCTCTTCAGCCATAAACATTGCAAACTCCGGTGCAACTAACCTCTCGATGGGATAGGAATAGAATCCAGCCCAGCAGCACTTGAAGGGCTTGTTGATGTTCACAGGAATGCGTCGGTGCCTCCTTCTTGTTTGCCCTCTCCTTGCCCAGGTTGAAGGCCTTTTGGTTTGCGATCACTTGAAAAGGACCGGACATTCACGAAATGTGGGAAACGACGACACTCGCAGCTTGGCAACACGAGTGAAGCATCCCCAGTGACCACGAGGCCATGAGTGAAGCTCCCCTTTTCTTTGGACTCGAAGTACATGGTCTGATCGGAAGACCGCCAAGTGCGGTGTCGCATCAGCCAGTGCCCTCCCGAAGTGGATCACGGCGCACGATTTGGTTTTTGCACTCAGCCAGGTTGACAGATTTGTTTGAAACAATCACTATCACACTGGTAATCTTGAACATGGTCTTCACACATGGCACAAGTCTAACAAGATCTAACAAGACTTGTCCACTCATATTTCATTAATAATATATATCTATATCTATATTTATATATTTGCGTATGCCTATAGTCTTGTTTGGTCGTTGGCGCGCAGGAAGTCGCTGGCTCAATGTCTTTCCGATCCCTACATCTATGAGTCCAGCGCCAGTGCCACCCACCAGGAGCTCCATGAAGGAGAGCCTCTCGGTGCTCCAACGTGAAGTCGCCTATTCCCGGCCTTTTCCGGGGAATGATTAGCATATGTATGCATATTCAAGCATATTTGCAAATATATCCAATTACTCAGGCATCTTGGAACCTTGTAATTACCGTTTTTCATGACCGGAAGTCGAAACGTCGTATCCGGTGAATCCGGTGACGATTCTGTGATTCTTCCATGACATCCACAATTTTCGGTTGGATTCCTGGATGCCGACAAAACATACCGAACATGTTTGATGGGGTATGTTGGATCCCCCGAAAAGATCTTTGGGGAAACAGATGTTGGATTCCTTCTTTTGTGTCGTTTGATCCCCCCAGAAGAGCCGTTTGCTCCAAGGAAGGTGCAGCGCCAGCATCGGCATCGCTTCGAAGATACCTCCAGCAAGGCGAGTCGACTGAGGGCGACGGAGGGCGAGTTACTGTGCGGGTCGAGTAACCAAGAACCGGCAGTGGACAGGTGAATAGAAGCGGACAGGTCGACCAATTAGTTCATTGAACCGTTTTTTGGCTTCACCTAGCATGATAGACTGACCCTGAGGCAGAAGGCCACAAGCTCCTTCTTTGTGCTGAGTCGAGTTTGTCCAGGTCTGTCGGTAAATGAAGTACTGTAATGGAACGAATTTGAATGGATGGTCTTCCGGAACTTTCCTGGCTCAACATGGTCAATGTCTCCCCATGTTTGGACCCTGTTGGGTGGATGTCACCATGTACCCCTCGACCACAGGCGCCACTCTACAAGGGCACCCTCTTCAAGCTCAATACCGTTGCTCGGATCGACCGGGAAGAGACGTGAAGAAGTGACGAAGTGAAAGGCCTCGCTCCGGCTTCCGCCTCCGCTCTGAAGGAGCGGATGAACGGAAGGTATTGTCAGACCAAGAGATGACACTGAAAATTGGATGTGAACGAAAAATTTGGACGGTTCCTTTTTTGCGGTGCCAGAGTGCCGACCCCATTTGGCTTGGTGCGGACGCTGTGGGAGGACGCCGTGCGTTGTGGACGAAGCGAGAACCCTGTGGGACTGTGAGAATGGAACAGCATAGTGGCATGCTCGGCATACGGAGATAAATTTATGCAATTCCGTATGAAGTGCTCCGCAGTTTTTGGAAGCACATGTTTGACCATTTTTGTAAGATGCCTCTTTTTCGACTCTTCAAAAAAGATCGCCTAACTACACCGGCACACCAAGCTTTTGAAGGGTTTTGTTCACCTCGACACCCCTCAGGATGGGAACGCGGATGAACCCGCTCACTGGCTCAAGCGTGACATGTGGGTGGCCTGCGCACCTCGGTGTCATATGGGGCCCACCGGTGTGGCGGCGTTCATGCCGGTGTGACGCGATGGAAGTAAAGAAAGGAACGAAGCCTCGTAGCGAAAGGCATGTGTTTGCAGTTAAACACATCATTCTTATTGCAGTGAGGGCCCATGCTCACCATGTTGTGAGGGACCAAAGGCAAGGATCTTCAACTCACTTGGACAAATTCTGATCACCCAACCCGGAACAAAATAACATACGCGTCCAACGTAACCCAAATCCCCGCACTGAAACCCCAGAGTCCTCCTAGACTTCACCAACCTTCTTACAAGGGTTGATTTCAACCTCTTCATTCTTGGATCCATCGCATGGGTGCTTTGCTCCCAAAAGACAGCTTTGCCCTCCAGAATCTCCTCACTCCAATCTTTGCAGCTTCTTTTCATGCGGACCCTTTCAAACCATCAGCATCCATCAACCTGTCAGAAGCACAACCCCGGGCCTGAGTATACTTCATGAATCTTCATGGCTTCACCCTCTTGTAACTCAGGATGGCTCCTTGTGCTATTTCAGCATCAAAGAGAACAAGCGCTTGGTGCTCTTGGACGGAGTCAAGCTCGCCGGCGCCAAGGTCCCAACATGTTGGGAGACTGGGAGAGGTTGTTCTTTGGAGATCATGGTGTGTTTGATCTTCTCCAGATGAAGCGGCATAGGTCTGTAACATGAGATGTGAGACTCTTCTGTGGCTAAGTTTGAAGCTTTTCTACAATGCACTACGCATCATCACGGCAATACAAAAGCATACAAAAGCTGATTTCGCCGGGAGCGAGGTCAAAGATTATCTATAGCATCCTTATGGCTTTGCCGTTCTTTCGTTTGCACCTTTCTCTGGAGCCATTCCGCCCGCATAGCACAGCGGCACTTGATTGAGCAAGTTCCTTTGCTGAGGAATGGGTCATGATTCGATCGACCACCTGGTTCAACTGTGTTCCGTTTGCGGGGTGCAAGGCATCCCATCTGCCGGTCCAAAAGCTGTCCAAATGAAACAGGAATCCGTCCGCAGATTGGTTCCGGATTTCTTACTACAGGTGTTTTGGATTTGCTGGGGCCCTTTACAGTTTCTATCTCTCCACATTGTTGCACCCAGGCCCGCATGGTCTCGTCGTGTAGCTCGGCAGTCAACGCAGGTGGAGAACCTCTCGTGCAAAGCTCGTGACTTTGCTTTCAAGCTCGACTGCATCAACAGCGACACTTGGGCTGTGTATCATATTCTTTGCACCGCAGTTGTTGGCCTGTTCCATCCCCATTCCAGACCTTCCAGACCCCACGGTTTTCGCCGCGCGGTTTTTCACCGCTGGTCCCAGGACGACCATGAGCAGGACATTTGCATGTGCTTCTCCGCGGAGTCGGAGGCGGAATATCAGCTCCTTGACCCTGAAGGTCTGACCAAACGCTGTGGCTGCGACACGAGGCGGTACATGGCACGGAAAAAACCACATACGGCCCCAGGCACCTGCCTGTTCAAACTCCAGGAATGGTGTTGCTGTTTGGGTGCAAAGTTAGGATTCATCCTTCAAAGTTCGAACATGTCAGAAGACGTTGATCAGATTGATTCAATTGCCAGCCTGAAAGATTGATCTACTCAACACTTTTTGAACTTCTCAGGGTCTTTGGTTCCTTTGGACTTCTGACCCTGACCCAGGAAGTGGCGTTCCTTGCTCTCCCAAGCGACCAACCTAGATGGCGCCATGCAGACCATCCGCCTGGGCGGTGTGGTCGCTGACGAGCTCAAGCAGTTCAGGCGCTGTTCGACCATCCACCGGTGGGGTTTTTCCCCTTGGAGAAGGCTGCAGAGGAGAAGACGGATCACTAAGGAGTTACGGTGGAACAGTTTTTCTTTTTTTGCAAGCAAATTGAGAGATGGATCTCTCTACTTGCTTGGAGGACACTGTTCCACCCAACTCCTTGTGAACATTTTGGGCTTTCAATGGTTTTGATGTTTTGATTACACATCACCACTTGACCTGGGCACTTGTTCACCAGTTAGGCGTCTTTGGGGATTGCAGCCCTTTAGCTGGCCTGTAATTAGATATACAGATGTACCGCTTGGAGTGCCGCACCGCCATTCTTTGAGACGAGACGAAGGGTCCTCGAGGGTCTAACAGGCGTTCATGAGAGCGAAGGACCCACCGTGCTGTCAATGACTTGACTGGGTCGGTCAGACCGGGGACATGCCATCGTGGGGCTGGCAGTCCATCCCTCGCCCCCAGGCTGGCCGTGAAGAACCGCCGTATGAAGGTGGGCGAAGACACCAAGGACGGCCGGAACGTCCGTGGACCCGCAGGGGTGCGGAGCAATGGTAGAATGGTGTGGAGGGGCTGTGGCTGTCGCAATGGTAGTGGCATGATTTGCATCAGCAAGGTGTTTGTGGACGTTGGCAGAGCTGCGTTGCTCGTTGCTGATCTGCTGCTCCTGGCTTGCTGGTTTGCTGCTGCTGCTGCTGTTGCTGCTGCTGCCGCTACCACTAAATTGCTGCGCGCGGAAGTTGGCTTATTGGCCCTTGTCTTCTTCTAATCGACACTGTTTGGGGTCTTTTGCCGGGATAGTTTTTGGAAGGTCTCTGTCGGCTCAAACATCCGTTGCGGTCAGTTGGATGAGCACTACCATCAAAAAAGCCAGGTCTGAGGACTCTCGCCTGCAAACACAGAAACACATGTTCTTTGACATGTCGTTTTTCCGGCAAGTTGTTGATTTTCAGCTCCGAAACGTCATCATGTATCTTGATTGCCCACCTGGATTTTTGGTGTGAATCGGGTTGCACTGATCACAGGATGACCAAAGGAGGCGTTTGTGTTCTTTGTGAGTATGCTAGGGTGCACTACAAGCCCTGCCATGTGTGAAGAATCTCGTGCATTTTACAGACGACGTCCAATGATCGCACATCAGGAGTTGATTATGTCACACTTAAGGACATTTGAGGTCTGCACCCATCATCGAATTGGTTGTCCACGTGAAGCGCCGGGAATCCCTGTGTTTGAATGCAAATCCATGGTGTGTAATGTTCGATCTCAATTAGTAGATGGCCCCTCCCAAGCAAACAATCGAGGGTGTCTGAACAGAATCAAGGCTGCCAATAGTATTTGGCAGTGTTAGTAGTGGTGGTAGTCGTCGTCGTCGTAGTAGTAGTAGTAGCAGTATGTAGTGGTAGTCGTATGTAGTAGTAGTAGTAGTAGTAGTAGTAGTAGTAGTAGTAGTAGTAGTAGCAGTATGTAGTAGTAGTAGCAGTAGTAGTAGTAGTAGCAGTATGTAGTGGTAGTGGTAGTGGTAGTGGTAGTGGTAGTGGTAGTGGTAGT